CCTGCCAACCTAGCCACGTGAGTTCTCCAACCTTAGTGCAAACGTTGACTTGTGCAAGAGGGGCGTGTGCACAAGCAGTCCTTTTATAGTCTGGAGAGGAGCCTAATTATCACTAGCTGAGTGCAATTACCTCCTGTAACTGCGCAACTGTTCCTGACACCTATTAGCTCTTTGGTGCCGGGCATCCAGGAACAACTCACTGCTGACGTCCGGATTACACTCCCTTGTCTCCTCCCCACTGGTCCAAGGCGCAGGCGCCCCCTGGTGGCCAATCAGCCTTTCTGCGCCCTGCTCGGAGTCGGAACCCTGTCCAGGGTCCTCCACATCCTCCAAAGCCGACTTATAGGGCCACTCGCTGTCGGAGTCTGGTGGCAGCTCCAATGGCTCCTGTTGGGCCACAACACTATATAAATCTGTTTAAATCTATAAAATTGAACTGACATAATATCATAGCCTTGTTCCCTCAGCACTTCTTTTTTCTTTCATCCTATAAATCCTACAAAGACTTACAGCTGTTATTGACTGGCTATTTTCCACCCTGAGATGCTCTGGTATTTTGACACTGACTGCTAAGAAGACAGGGAAGTTAGCCAGCATTCAGTGGTTGACTGGCTGGCTAGAGGTTCACCCTGAAATTTGAACACGAAGGGACACTGAAGTAGCCTTCTGCATTTTCAGCAGAATCAGTTAAATCGGAGTGCTCTGGAGTAGGACTCCAGACTCCAGCAGCTCAGAAAGGGGCAGCCTTGGGAGAAGGGGATTGGAGAAGAAGTTATACAAGCAGAGAAAAAGGTTGCTAGGTGAGAATGCTGGATTCACTATGTGTGTATGGGACGCTTGATCCAAGGAAGAAGGGGATGTGATAATTCTAGCCCGAGGCAGAGACTTGGAGTGACTACATCCTTGGTCCTGGATTGAGTTTCTGGGCCATTGCTCCCTGGCTACTGAGGTGAACCCATTGGCCTTTTGCTGGGCCTGCAAAAGACACACCCATAAATCAACAGTATTAGTGAGGTGCCATTTGGCCAAAGGACAGTTTCTGGGACCTATCTACAGTATGTGACTTGTTTAAGCGTTCCAATGGAAGCAAGATGGGTGGCAAACAAATTTAATAAATTAATTTTTTTTAAAAAAGAATCACCAGTTAATTCTGATATTTATTACTATTTTAAAAGTTTTCTTGTATTACCAGGAAAAATTAAATCCAATTGAAACCGTGTAAAGCAAAGTGGAAGAAAGTAGAATCACATATTTTTTATATTAATTTTTACACTAAAATATTATTACCAGCTTTTCCACTGTTTATTTGACATCACAAATACTCAGTTGAATACATAGGCAGGGAGATTGAAGTGTTTTACATTTATATACATGTGTGTGTTTGTGTAGATATTAGTTTGTGATATAGCTATTAGCTATATTTTCACAACTTTTTTTTTCATGGTAAAAGATAAATCATGTGAGCATGAAAGGGTTATACTTTGTAGCCAAAAAACATGTCAAACACATTCTTAGATTATCCACATTTAGTCACATGGAAATTCTCATTTTGATTTTGTATCTGAACTAAGTTGTACAAAACAGTATCATTTTTTTTCTTGCTTGGATTGAAATAGCACGTTTTTAGGGTTTTCTTTTCCAAGCAATCCAGCAACATATGAACATTCCGAATCCTCAATGAAGCAAGCTGTGCGTTTCCCCATGTTGTTATCTATTCAGTTTAAAGTATATTTTATTCCATGCCTGTTTTCACAGGAATGGAGGGCCACCAGAGAAGGGAGCAAGGAAGAGGGTAGAATAAATAAATAAAGGGACACAGTGGCTCAGTGGCTAAGATGCTGAGCTTGTCGATCAGAAAGGNGGTAAAATGAGGACCCAAATTGTTGGGGTTAATAAGCTGACTCCGTAAACCATTTAGAGAGGACTATAAAGCCCAGTAAAGTGGTATGTAAGTCTTAAGTACTATTGCTATTATGTTATGGCTTTTTTATTGCTTCTTGACTGTAAAACACAATATGTGAAGTTGCAAATTCATTTTCGTATGGAGAAAGCTTGAGGGCTGCATGATATTGAGATAGGCTCAACGTCATTATTAGACTGACGTTAGCATGACGTTAGCATGGATAATTGGTTGATAAGTTCTTCTGTATTTATCATGGTTCTTTTCTGGAGGCACAGTTTGGCCCAGAACTGCTCGTGCATTCTCTCTTCTAAGCTTTGCTGTCTCTTATGGTAGTAACCTGGTACATTTTTTGTTAGTTTTGACAACGTGACTTTAGCAGTCTCCGTATGCGAATTGAGCCAAATCAATATTTAAAGGTTTCCATGCAAATAGTTATTACTCAAAAAAGGAGGTGCAAGGCTATAAAGGCTATTTTCTCTGAACCATACTTGTGTGGTTTTGGGAGGGAGACTTTCTAGCTTTGTGCCATGTTCTAATTAATTACACAGGGTATCACAAGTGTTAGAGCAGTAATGAGATTTCCACCCCCACTTCCCAAGGAAGAAGCAAAGCTTGCTAAGCTGCTTTGGCAACTTTCTAAGTATCACAGGAAAACCCAGCAGTTTTAGATTACAAAACTACAGTACTACCGGTATGTAAGGCCAAGTCAGAGATAGGTTCTCCTGAATTCTGCACATAACAGGTGAAGCCTACTAAGTTACCGCATTTTTCGGAGTATAAGACGCACCCTTTTTCCTCTAAAAAGAGGCTGAAAATGTGGGTCCGTCTTATACACCAAATACAGCATTTTTTTTTGCCTCCTGAAGCCCCACCCCTTCACCAAAATTCATAGCCTTATGGAGGCTTTCAGACAGCTCCTGGGGGTTGGTGAGGGCAGAAATGAGTGAAAAATGGGCCGTTTTTTGCCCCCCCCCNATCACAATCATGACAAATCACAGCTTGAACTATCTTGCTTTGCAGGTAATGAGTCTTATCTCATATATTAGTTTCACCTTTTAAGTTTGATTACTGAAATAAATGAACTTTTGTACGATATTCTAATTTTTCAAATTTCACCTGTATTTGTTGCATATTTTTTCACGTTGCACCAAAATGGACCCAAATTTTACACACTTATCAAAATATTTTTCTATATTACAGGTTGATATTAGTCTATAAGAAAACAACTGTTTTAATATTTGAAAAAAAAATGTCATAACTCCAAATCAGGTATTTTGTTTGTTGTTTTATTAAAAAATTCAGTGGTTATTCTTATTCCCATTGAAGGAAGTTCTGCAAAAAAGTAAGCAGTCCAAATCATTAGCTTCTATAAATTTTCAGGGTGGATAAAAATCAATGATTTTTTTTTAAAAAAATGAATTTTTAAAATTTATTTATTTTTTATTTTTAAATTTATTTTAATAAAATGCTTTTGGAGTAAAAATCTATCTAAAGATAGTTTAATTTAGTTTATTCAGCATGAAATGGGGCTTAGGTATGTAGCATGAGCATATTCTGCAACATTGGGACTGTCGCTGAGCCAACAGCAGGTCAGAGGAAGAGCGTTGCAGGACAGAATTAAGAGTTTTTTTTAAAAAAAAATATGATTTAAGTTGAGTTGATTTAAATCAAGCCTTTACTAGTGATTTAAATCATGATTAAAATCTACCTGATCTAAATCAAATCCATCCTGAATAGTTACAATGACTGATTAGTCAAGAACATATTATATATTCAGTGAACACAGAAGTACTATGACCATCTAAAAGGCAATAAAATAGACTACGATACTATCTACTGCATGTTTCACTGATCCAAACCGCTTTGCTTTCTTAACAGGTTTTAGGCTCAGTCCTGTTATCTTGAAGTGGGTATAGAATGCGATTCAATTTAAATAAAAAATAGCTGAAAGTATTGCCATTTGCATTGTTATATATGAAGGATTGTTCCACATGCTATAAACAAAAACTTATAAGTATGAATACCATTGCTATGAATGTATATCTAGAGTTATATGCAAGTCACTTTGTCATCCTAACCCCTCAATTCCATCTTCTGTTTGAGGCTAAAGCTCATTTACTGTTTAATGATTATTTAATGTTTGTTTAATTTAATGATTGATGATTGTGAGAATTGATATAGTGCAAGTGAGATGTTTAACATGTGATTTTTCCACATGTGTGCTGTATACTATTTTAGGTACTCCCAAAGAACACACTTTCTGACCAGTGAATTATGTTAAAACTGATATTTCCAGAGGGAAGAGACAATGCTGACATAATAGGCTAGACTTTAAGCTGCTAAAATGTATGGTTTCCTTTAAAAAAAAAAGCTAAAAGCTCTAGAATCAGTAGAGCATTCGAACAAAACTCATTATTTGATTAAATCTATGTAAAATGTAGGAGAAGAAAGAAAATACAGGGAATAAGGAGATTATAGAGAAGAGCTGATACCAAATAAAAAGAGAAGTCAGGAAGACATAGATGTTGCCTAATTGAGGTCATACAGCATTTTCTAATTTTGGCAATTTTCAGATGTGTGGACTTCAGCTCCAAGAATTTTCAGCCCAGCCAAGAATTACAATTTGTCTTTAGGTAACAACACAGTTATCTGACTAATGATGTGGTTTGCCTGTACTACTATGAGATAGAGATAAAGTTTGTTCCTTATCACATTTTAATAACATCTGGGTTAATGGCTTCACACCATCATTCGCCTTGGTGTTGGGTTTAAACCTCTGGGATTTACCAAGTTAATTAGTTGCGAAATAAATAAGTAAACATATAAATAAATGGTTAATTCCAGCTACCTCAAAAATATTTAGTGAACTGCAATTTACATTACATTTGTTTATTATAAGAATTAATATTATTTTTCTATTACAGTGCAAACTAGACTATCAGGCATGTGCCTCAGGAAAACATATCTCAGCTAAGTGTGAAGGACGTTGTCCTTGCCTTTCAGAAAAGGCCACAAGTGCAGGCAGAGGTGATAAGAGAGGTAAGTTTTGATGTTCGTGTTAGATTTCTGTTACTTCAGCAATTGGTATGTCTGTAAATTTTAAAAAAAGAGAGAGAAGTAATTAATGACATCAACAGCTGAATGACTTTAAAGGACAGCGTATAAAAATAAACTAAATTGCTTATTTGAAACTCTACTTGTTCTAAGTGGTTAGAGGACAAGAACACCTCCTGTGTTTCTGACAAAAACATTTACATGAATGTTGCCATATTTAACCACCCAGATTTGGAAGTTAATCCTAGATCTCCAGGCACTTAACCTTTAGTTCAGCTCTCACTGAGACTTAGCAGAAAATTTCCATACACCGCTAGCTAATTTAGAGTCTTTATTCCAGACAAGCCTTAACAAGTTATTTGATTGCTCACTGCAGAACCTCTCTGTATTTTTGTTCCAGCATGTAAATTTTTGGCTTCTTCTTTCTGCCTTTCTAACTGATGGATTCTTGGCCCATTTGCCTGGTAGCACTGGATGGCTGAGCTATCCAGATAACAGTTGTCTCTAAGCCTGGTTTGTTCAGTGCCAGTTTCAGCCATTACTGATATCTCCATGAAGTCACCATAAACCATATTAGATGTAAAAGAGTCTCTATTTATATCTTTAGCAGAAAGTGATATAGAATCAAGGGTTTGTTTGGCGTATTTTTAATAATTATTTTTGCATTTTCCATTTGGCCAACTGGTTTTATTTGGAAAAAAGCTGAGTTACCAATACGTTTACGGATATCAATATAAACTAATGCAAACTAACAAAAATATTAAAAACTAAAGAAACACAAAAGTGCAGAGTGTTGAAGAATAAAGAAAGATATGTAACAAATGACTTTCTGCTCCTTCCAGCTNGATAGATAGATAGATAGATAGATAGATAGATAGATAGATAGATAGATAGATGCAACCTGGCTTTTGAGATTTAGTTTCTAGCCAGATATCAAAGCATAGTTTTGTTTATGCATTTTCACGATCACTGATCATAAGAGATTTGACCAAATAATAGTTTTTTGGTCTATTTTTCAAAAAGATGAATGTGAAAACAATAACATTTAATTTCATGTTTAAATAAACATAGATCCCATAAATGTTTGATCAAATTAGCTTGTAATAAAAGATATTGTTAAAGAGGATATAGGAAGGAACAAAGGAATCATTTGAATAAGCAGCTTATAATAGAAAAACTAAGTTTTGTAATGGATTTTTCAGTACTAAATATTGTTGACAAAATAAAGAAATAGCATCCAATGTTAATGATTTTTATGTTTTAAAATCTTATTTTTTTAATACCCAAGAAAAAAAGTCAGAAAACCAAAATATGACTGTCCCCTCAAACTGTTTATAAAATGATGTTTCATTTCTGTGAACTGTATTTAAATAATTTAAATACAGATTCATAATTTAAACAAGGTTAAAGGACTGAATTAATGTAGGAATAACAAATAGAAACAAGAGAAAGTATTGTAAATATCCTGCATACAGTAATGTGCCATATTAAGAGTCAACTTCTGATTTGTCTTAGTTTAATTCCAGTTTTTAGAAAACAAATTGAGAAAATAGATTTCCAAATTTTTGACAACATTCAGGCTACTAAAGATCCTATTGAAGAAAATGTTGTTCAATTATCAGTTTTTGACATAACAGCAAAAAAAAAAATCCTTGCTCGGTAACCTATAGCAACTATGTAGTGCATTAAAAGAAAGTCACAAACTCAGTTTTAAAATGCATTATTGCTTGTATTTATTTTCTTAATATAATTTTAATGTTTTGTATATTAAATTAAGCATTGCTTTAAAGTTCAAGCATTGTTTTACAATATGCTGAACCAAGACAACATTGTTTTGTTACTAACATGATGGGCTTTTATGACTTTAATACTAATGGGAATAAATATGTTGTCATCAAGGTTAGATCACAATATTGAATTCAGTTGCTGAGGCTCTGCTGTTTTCCTCATCTGCATCTTATCATTAATTATATTGCTATTAATTATCTGTTCTCCAGGACAATCTGTCTCCATTTTGGTCCTTCATGTTTTCCAAAGGCACACCCATTACCACTGTAACTCATTCAATCCATGTTCTGGTTCTTCTCATCTTCTTTTTCCTTCTGCTTCCCCAAAATCATAAATTTCTCCAGAGAGCTGATTCTAACTACATTACACAGATTCTTGAATGTCAAATTGCTTCATTTTTCATTNGTATAATCTGTCAGATTGCTTTCCTTATTTTTAACTAGCTGATAACCTGGTGCTGCCCGAGTATTTATTTATCCTAATCCTGTATTAGATAGGAAAAGCCCTGATTTCGGCGACAATTAAATTAGTTACAAATGTTTTTTTCTGTGCTCCCAGAAGCATCAAGAAAAGTGATACCACCTTAATTTCTAATGTTGGATTTTCCCCCTTGCCAGATGGAGCCCCCTTGTGGAGTACTGTGAAGCCATTACCATGGCAACTCCACTGCGCTGTACATTAGAAGCCATTTTAAGGCAGTACGGTAGAAGCCATTTTAAGGCACAACAGGCTCTTAACAAACACACACTTCGAGGGGTGTTAGGGGTGTCTTACCTCCTCCCCCCAGTAATTGTTTCTAGAGGGTAAGTCATCTGTGTATCAAGTTTGGTTGAAATTTCTCAAGATATTCCAGAGTTATGTTGGAACATACACACACACAGCCATTTTTATATATATAAGAAGATGTTGAAATAGTGATTATTTTGCTTGTTCTGTTACTTTCAAAAGGTTTTGCCAGAATCTTTGTAGTTCAGTGACACTGAGGTGATATTCATTTAAAGTAAGTGTTGTTAGACCACCCTTTCCAATAGGGTGCCTCTAAGAGATGTTGGGGCGAAGTGGCAAAAACATCATGCTCCAAGTTAGCTGTCTTGTTCTAACTGCAAAGGTTTGCCATAGCTAAGGATGAGAGGGCCTCTAATTCTAATTTCTTCAATTTGACCTATAGTATGGCTAGTGTGGTATTTCAGGTAGTTGGTCTGCTATTTGATTAGTTTACTATGCTGTATACCTAAAATTACTGTAGGCAGCAGCAAATGAAACATTGTGGATATAATTAAACAGAATATTTTTTTAGGTATGGTCAGTGGCCGTTAGTACCTGCATCTGATCCATAGCATTTGATTTCTTTGCTGCTTGTAGCTTGGCTACTAGGACAAGAATTAGGTGCCTCTTTCTTTGATTTGATGTTAAATTGCATAGCTTGTAGAATTTTTTTTTCAAACTTTTGAAAGTTAAGCATTAAATCTCTGAAGTAGACAGTTTTTTTTCCCCCATTCATCATCCTTAAGATCAGTATTGTTGAGAAAGTAAGTTTATGAACGTTGGCGATTATTTGCTAAATAAAAAAGGCTACATTTTAAAAATAGTATATTCGGTTCAAACTTTATTATTAACCTTTATTTTGTTCATTTTGTATAAAAATGAAACTTAATGCTGATAATCAAAATTTCTGGTCTACATGTTTGTCATAATTTTTATTGAAACCTCAATATCTCTTTTAAAAATCATATTGTTCATGTAATTTTACAATGCTATACAGTTTATATTAGACATATGTTAGTCTTTATTTTTACATATTTCTTTTCAATTTATGTCCCATCTTTAATTTTACATTGGCAGTAGCTCTTGAAAAAGTAAAATGTTGTCTACTTTTCAGAGAAGACCTTTTGTATATTAGTATTTATACTATGTTTTTTTGGACTTTGAAATATATTTTTACAAAATAGCCCATGCAAACCTTTTGCCACTAATTTTCTGATAACCCAGCGTTGTCCAGGTATTTATTTATAGGAGGAAAATGTCCAGACCAAATGTAATTTCTAATGTTGGATTTTCCCCCTTNCTCATGAGAGACCACCACAATGAACAGACATGGCTAGAATACACAGATAGATCTTCTTAACTACTAATTCGAACGGTTGTTTCCTGCAAATGTCCCCTCTCAATGCCTCACCTATAATCTCTCTTGGGAGGGGCCAATCAACAACCACCTGTGATTAATCATCTTCTGTGAGTCTCCCTACGGAGTTGCTGCTTCCGTTTCTCAGCCCTTCTCAATCTAGCATCAGGGATAAACTGCTTTTGATCCTCCCCACTGCTCCATGCTTCAGGTGCCTCCTAGTGGCCAACCAGCCTCTCTGGTCCCTGCTCTGAGTGTGAACCCTGCCCAGGGTCCTCCACATCGTCCAGGGCAAACTCATATGGTTCCTTGCTATCCGAGTCCATTAGCAGCTCAACCGGATCCTGCTGGGCCACAACACCTACCTACTGTATTTCTCTCTCTCTATTTTTCTCTCTATATCCCTCTACCTACCTATCTACACTCTCTCTCCCTACCTACCTACCTACTGTATCTCTCTCTCTCTCCCTCCCACCCTCTCTCTCTCCCTCCCTTTATCTACCTACCTACTCTCTCTTCCCCCCACCTACCTACTGTATTTCTCTTTCCCTCCCTCTCTATCCCTCTATCTACCTACCTACTTTTTTTAAAAAAAAGCCTCTTCAAAACCTGGGTGCGTCTTATACTCTGAAAAATACGGGTAAGTGCTTTGATAAAGTGGTAAGTTATCAAAGCTAATAATAAAGGGAAGTTATTTATGCCAACTCTCCTGACACCAAGGAATTAGAGGCAATTCTCCCCAGTAGATGCTTTTTGACAACATATCAGGGCTGATTATTCACCCCAGTAAATTAGTAGATACTTTTTGGCATCATGCCAAGACTGATTATTCAGGAGACCATATGGAAAAATAAGAGCTTGCTTTGATAGCTCTTTGGAAATTTTATTCAAAAGGTGGAATAGGTTGATTCCTGAACTGGTTTAATACAACTAAGGTTCTTTGCTGTACAATTCATAGTTGTCCTTGCTATCTTTAAAAAAATACATATTTCAAGAATTGAGTGTGGTAAAACTAGTGCCATGATATCAAACAATCTATCTCCTCGTCTAATTTCATCCAACCTGTGATTAAAAA